TATATATATATGTAAAGGAAGAGCAAACTAAACAACCGTTCCGCCGTATTCTGTATCAGATACCTATACTCACTTTTTTCTTCTAGGTTTTCATCCTCGCAAACTGTAACAACTTGCTTGCCTAAAAGAACTTTTTGTCTGGTTACTAAAACGTGTTGTCGCAATAAACAGATATGAATAATCAGTATAGCAGCAAGCTTGTGAATAGTCAGATGAGGAAATGATCCTAAACGACTCACTTCAATTCCTTTCCGATTTCGCGGTCTAATAAGGCATCATCTTCCTCCCCGTCCGTCAGTTTTCGTTTGATCATCACACTGAACAAGTTCATAGTCTTGTTCAGACGACTGTACTCAACCTCGGCTTCATCCTCGCGAAGGAATCGGTAGTTGATTTCCGGATTCATTTTGTACCTAACGAAAAAAGAACGGAAACGGAAACGAAAACCGAGACTGAACATCTACTGAGCGGAAAACAGCAAAAAACAGTGCGCGAAGGAAATCGGTCAGTGACGATCACATGAAGGAGTAAGTTGGTCAAGAGCAGTGGGAAGATACGATGACTTTGGAAGACTTTTTCGTGTACTGTACTTCTTACTAAAAGTGCTAAAGTGCGTCAACGTGAATTGGTTTATTTCACGCCTGAATTGGAGTTACGGTGGCGACTTATCAACTAAGCAGGAAGATAACCAACAGACTGAACTTACCATGCATGGACCGGATAGGCGTCGAAATTGCCGTCTTTGCACTGACAAAACACAAAATATTCCACATTATTTGACACGCTGCCTTCTTTCACTCCTTTGAAACGACGCCGTCCGGTTTTACCCTTACCGACCGTCATAATCCACGGCTGATCGTCCGGGCGATAACTTTCACGGACAATCCCATATTTTTTCAGTCTGGCTTCTTCCTTTGCCTCGCGACCAAATTCGCTGCCTGCTCCACGATCGGGCAAATCTGTCATATTATTTACACTACGATACTGCTTTAAATTGTTTTCTCTTTGCATGAAGACTTCCAAACCGGAAGACAGATCTGGACGGTCGGCCGAGTGGAAACGTAACACACTGAATCGCTTATCACGGCGATTGGGAACGCGGACCTGAATGTGACAAGCAGAGGAAATGTGAGACGAGAGGAGTGGTGAGAGGGGAAGCATATATCGTTACTGAACCACGCATTAAACCTGAAGGTTCAGCTTAAGAGCGGAGGGTGAGTCGTGAGATGCCCCTTAGTCTCAGGGGCACATTTAATATAAACTACAACTCAGCCATCACCGAGAATTGTGTCCCCACATAATTCAAAACAACGGAAATCAGCATTCCGTGCATAAAGATGACTGAGTCGCAGCAATCATACACCGAAATTGCGAGCGTTTTCAGGTTAAATGACAAGACGGGAAAGTTTTCAGCACGATTAATAGAGTAGATTGGTGAAACAAACGCGAATAGAAAAATACGATATTTGACAACCGCTAAACAGAAAGAGAGCGCCTTAGATTACCGTAAAAGGAAGGCATTCAGTTCATTATTAGTAGATGAGCCATTAGTTTGAATGGGCACTGGGTAGGAGAAGTGCTGTCAAGGCAGGGAAGATGTTCCAGAAGGAAGAAGTTTGAAGTTGAATCAGGTGACGCTTGTGGACGTGGATAGAAACTCTGAGTGTTAACAGGGGTCAGCAAAAGACAACTCTTGTGAAACTACTCATAAGCATAAAAATGCCTGCTGACAAAGTATTTTACGGTGGTGATATTCGGAATAACCAAAAACAGTAAAGGACGAATAATTTCAGTATTTACAACCATTACCCATCTACTTTCGTGCGGCGGTTTTAGTTGCTGTCTTTTGGATACCCATTTGGATAAAAGAGCAGAAGAAAGATTGGAATGTTTAGAGCAGAGATGAAGAATTCATATAGACTGGGGCCGCAAGAATGTTGAGTAGGTGCACGAGCACTGTATCTAACCAGCGGTTAACTTGATCTCCGGGTATCTGTATAGAGGGATTATTGGGACCTATTTAGGGTTTCCATACCCTCACGCTAGGTTTTAGTTGGACCACCACGACGATAATCGCACGCCGTGGCAGCAACACATGTCCTAACCAGCGGAGTCTAGGAAGTCGACCACTTCCTCCAGTGGACTGCGATTATCTACAATTCTGAGTCTAACGTCAGCATTGATTGTACGATACTCCCAGTAGACGCGTGCAATGCGGCGTGTACAGCGATGTTCGACCACCGGCAATCCATTTTCATCCTGTTACAGTTATGGCTAAATCTCTGGAAAGTACAGCACGACTNGCCTGACTGCTGCAACACACACTCAGCCCTTCACGAACAGCCGGATGTCACGACGGCCCCACAGATGTCTCAAATTGGCGAATACCAACCGAACCTTCTGTATGCATGCCTAAACATCATCTGCGATGCGTCCGCTAGCTACCTAAATACCAAAATTTATTCACTTGCTGTATAACTTCCCCAGTTGGAGTGAGGTTCGGAGCTGGACCAACCCAATCTTGTACCATTATACACTTCGCATATGCAAAACGCATACACTAGCAATAAAGCTATCCATAAAAGCTTTCAAATGGATCTTCATTTAGCAGCACAATGTCGTCTGTATACTCTAGATCAGACAGCCTACCAACCAGGGGTAAATTGATGCCACACGATGACAGGGCTGTTTCAAGAATTAAGTCTATAACAGAGTTAAATAAAAAGGAGAGGGCGGCAACCCTGACAAATACCACTTTCCGTAGTGAACTCAGGCGAAAAAGTGCCGTAAGCTCGAACTCGACTTCGGCTGTTAGTATAAAGAGATCGCAAAATTGGAACAAAATTCTCAAGCACACCCTTCAAAGTTTAGAGCGCTTGACAAGGTCAAAGGCCGCTTTAATATCAAGGAAGATAGAAATGGAGGGTCTACGAAAAGAGTGTCTGTGTTCAAAAACGTTGATGAAGAGTGAAAATGCGCTCTATCTCCACCCGGTCTAACACCAGCCTGATTCTCATGCGTGCACCGTTCACGTGCGGCAGACAATCGACGGAGTCTAAAACCTGCGATAAGTTTAGAGACAATGTTGATGAAACTAATTCCACTGTGCCTTTATCAAGAGAATCCGTCACCTTTCTCGTAAATCGGTACGATGACCGACCAACCTCATTCCGTTGTAACCCCTTCCCTCTCCCACACTGAGCCAAGGAGTTTCATTATGTCCAAAACCAAGGCAGACCCTCTATCCTTGAAAGCCCATGGGGACAGCCCATCCACGCCAGAGGCCTTGTACATTTTGAGGTAACTGATTTCACGGGTAACCTTCGTTTCACATGGAGGACTGACATCTACTGGCAGAATTTACCTAGCTGAAGCAGGTATTGGGGTATTTTTGCTGACGAAGGCCAACTGAACTGTGGTTAAAATTTTCTGCCCGTCACCTAGTTGGCACTACTGAAAATAAATTCGTATGCCGTCCCTAATTAAATCACTTACATCTATCTACTTTCCTTGACCCTGCACTCCTAATTAAACGAAACACATTGCGACTACTGCCGATGGCCGCAGTCTTCTCCGTATCTCTATACCTACTCATCCATTACTTCTCGCGGTCATGCCTCAGGCTCTTGCTGTGCTGGCATTTAAGGAAGTTAGACGCTTTGTCGTATTTGGCATC